AGGTCCCCAGGTGGCGTTTGAGCCTTGTGACTATCTTGCTGCCCTGGTTTTCACCAGGGCCCCCAGGTACCCTCACCTGGCTCCATCATCGCCCTGGGGGTAGGGAGAGGGGACTTTTTTGGTCATGCCTTCTACTCTTGATTAGCTGTCCTTCTGTGAAGAAAAGCCGCCTCCCTCTTTTTTTTACCCCTTTCTTTTTGGTATCACTGTGTATTCCTGATTTTTATTTTTATCCAAAAAGCTGTAATCCATCATTTACATTCTTTTTGATATGCAAAAAATGGTGTCAGTTTGGCCAGTGGGGATGGCACTAGAGACCAGGAGACCAGGGCGGCTCCACTTGCGACCACGGGAAGGAGCAGCTGGTCTGAAGGGTGGGTTGTGTGTCCTACAGCACTTTGCCGGCTGTGGGAAGGCCAAGCTTGTTTGCATTTTCTGTGGCCCCGTGTATTTTCTGTGAATTGCTTATTCAAGCCTTTTGCCCACATTTTCTTTTGGCATGTTGGTTTTTTTAATCCTATGAGTTAATTCGTTGAAGCACTAGAATGGTGCCTGGTGCATGGTAGAATTAGCTATTATTACTTGGTCTCCATCTTTTTTTGGAAGTATTTAGAGTGACTTTTAAACTCAATCGCCAGACAAATGTTGCTCCTCTAGTCATATGGGAGCTGTGCGTGCATCCATTGGTGCTGCCTGCTACTCGCTGAGTTTACAGGGCTGTGAGTCATGCCCCCTCCACTCTGGTTCATAGTAATTGGGACGTGTGGGCCAGTGGCCATACCCACTGATAGAGGACAGGACCAGAGCCAGACAGTTCACTGCCCCTCTCCCACCCTACAGGAGGTGGACTGGGAGGTGGAGCTGGCCGTGGTCATTGGAAAGACAGGCAAGCACATCAAGGTGAGGTGGAAGGGGCGGTGCCCACTGTCCCTGGCCTGGAAGGTGGTTGGCCCCTAGCTGCTGGGGCACCTGCCTTGTCCCTCACCCACTACTTTTGGTGAGCTCTGGCTCCTAGTATGGGATAAAGCTTTGTTATAGGGCTTGGTGTCACCATGATCTAACCTCCAGTCTGGCCAAATCCCATCCCCTATAGGCCACAGATGCCATGGCTCATGTGGCCGGCTTCACTGTGGCACATGACGTGAGTGCTCGTGACTGGCAAATGGGACGTAATGGAAAGCAGTGGCTGCTGGGAAAAACCTTTGACACCTTCTGCCCCCTGGGCCCTGCCTTGGTGACCAAGGACAGTGTAGCAGGTAGGTCTCTGACAGCCCACATGATGACTCTTCTTACTCTGCACAGATATAGCAGAGCAAAGAAAAAGCAGCCAGAAAGTGGGAGTGTGGGGTGGCTCCATAGAGAACCCCCTCCCCAGCTGCCTTTCACTGATCCCTGAGGGAACAAGTCTCAACCTGGGCCATGAGTTCTCAGCGGGCCTCCTTCCATGCCCCCCTCACCCCCTAGAGGACCCCAGTGCAGAGGTGGTGAATCCCTATTCATAAAGCAAGTGACAGTGACACGTCAGGCTTCCTCTAGCCACCACCATCTGGGAGAGTCTGTAGGTTGGAAGCAAAGCTGGCCCTTGAGCCTCACAGAATGGCTATCACAAAGCCCAAGGCATTCACCACTCAGGGAGATGGAGAGGACCAACAGGACTTTGCCAGCTAGTGTGACCAGGAGGAGACAGTGGTGCAGAGGGCAGAGCACCGCCTTTCGGGTGGGGGCATGTCTGGGTGACCAACCCTCATACCACCCTGTGCAGTGACAGCGAAGTTAGATTGTGTTCCAGCTACTCTATGGGTGTGCTTGTGAGGGTGTAAAACAAGAAATGTAATTAGCCAGGACACTGATAGGTGAGCCGCCCCTGCCAGCATCAGGCTTTTTTAAGACAACTGTCTCCCCTGAGAGGTCTGGGATACATCCCCTCCTGAACTCACCCAAGTGACAACTTGTAGGCGGGGTTGAGGAAAAGCAGGAAGGACCCCAGGGAGGTGTTTCTGCATTTCAGACCCACACAACTTAAAAATCTGCTGCCGCGTGAATGGAGAGGTGGTCCAGAGCAGCAGCACCAAGCAGATGGTGTTCGGGATAGAGGCGCTGATCGCCTGGGTCTCCCGGTAAGCAAGCAGAGCCCGTGGCTGAGCTGAGCCCTCCTTCCTGGCTGTGGCATCTTGCCCCTGGTCTCACTTGGCCCTTTTGCCCCAGGTTTGTCACTCTTTATCCTGGGGACATCATCCTCACGGGGACTCCCCCAGGTGTTGGTGTATTCAGGAAACCTCCTGTCTTTCTCAAGGTAGGTTGGCTATAAGGAGGAAAGGGAGAAGGACCAGACTTGAGCAATCCAGGCATAAGTGCATGCATATGCATGTGTGAGACACAGGACTGACACGCTGGTGGCCACTCTGTTGCAGAAGGGTGATGAAGTCCAGTGTGAGATTGAAGAACTGGGCGTCATCATCAACAAGGTGGTGTGATGCCTCTGGCTGTAGGCCCCAGACTTAAGACAAGAGGTGGGCACCAGCTCCCACTCACCAGCCCAGCACTAGTCCCTCCAGGCTCCTCATCTGGGAGGTGACATGGAGTTCTCTTCAATAAAATTCTCAGGCCAGAGCAGCCGCTCTGCTTCTACTACTGTGTCAGTTTGTTTCAGGGAGCAGGAGAGAGTGTTGTCACAGGGTGGGGAAGGAGAGCAGGTGCTACATGCACACAAGAAAAAGACACCACTGGGCCTGGGAAGTGGACACATCCAGTCCTGTTTATCACACCAAAGGATGAAGAAAGCAAGATACGACAAGGGACAGTCAAACTCAACAATTTAATAGTCCAGCCAAGGGTGTGCAGCCACTTCTGCCTCTGGCTTCAGGACACGGCCATGTTCTGGGGCAAGAAGTCTCAGCATGGGCTTCACCCCACAGTTCTAGCTGCAAACGAACTGTCGGATGAATTGTTCCAGCTTTTCCTGATTGTCCCGGCTGGCAAACGTCGGAGACAGATGTAGCATGGGGCCTGCAGGGCTGGGCTTCTGCTGTAGCACCTGGGCCACAAAGAAGGATTCTGAGTGCTCACCATGGGGGCCTGCAGTGAGACCTCTGGCCCCTCCAGCCTCAGGGTCTGAACACAAATGCTGTTTCAAGCCACCCCCAGTACCCAGATGGGAGGGGAGCAAGGCGGTGCCCTGGGGGACCACAAGGCAGGAAAACTGTCAAGCTGCCTCCAGCTCCTGTCACCACACTTATTCTTGGGAGACACTGGGGACATCCTAGGTGAGCACAGGTGGGCTTCCCTGAGCAGCTCTAACAGGGTGCAGGCTGGGGAAGAGGCAGGGGGACAGCCAGCAGCTGAGACTGGCCCTCTCACCCCCAAGTCTCTGAAGGTCCAGACAGCCCTGATGGCAAGACCTGAGTCGGCACACTCTAGAAGGAAGGAGGAGGTGAGCTCTAGGGAGGGCCAAGAGCAATGTACACAGGCTTCTCTTCCTCTTGTAGAGAAGAGCCACCCAAGGTAGGGCTCAGACCGCACCCAAGGGTCCTCAATGCCACAGCTCTCCTTCCTGGATTGGGGCTGTCACTGCTCAGCAGGGGGCAGCAGCCACCAGCAAACCACTGCCTCCTGGGCTGGCTGCTTGGGCAGGACTCACCGAAGAACCCGTCCTCCTGGGCAGTGGCCCGCAGGAACTGCAGCAGCTGGTCTGTGTAGCCTGACTCTGCAGGGAGAGGGGTGTAGGTTGGGCACAGGCAGAGCCCTGCCCCATGTTCTCAGCCCCTCCGTGAGGACAGCCAGGGGGGTGTGGACCTCACCCGTGTCAGGCAGCTGGCCCATGGGGAGGAAGGCGGCAGCCTGTGCAAAGGCCTTCAGCAGCGGGCTGAGCAAGCGGCAGAGGAAGAGGAAGAAGTCGGGGCAGCGTGACTGCTGACTGAGCTGGAGGGGTACAGGCCAGGTCAGGGAAGCTCCCACAGCGTCCCCACTGCCACCTCCCCAGGTGGCTTCTCCCAACACACCCTAAAGTACCGGCCCTCAGCCTCCTCGAAGTCATCACTGTCACTATCGGTGAAGTCCCCACTCGGTTTCCACAGCAGCCTGGCACTCAAACGTTGTCGCCCTGTGTCGCATGCCAGCCGGGATCCTGGGGTCTGGGGGCCAGGGTTGCCATTGTACCCTGTCAGCCTGGCTGAGGTTTAGCCCTGAGCCCCCCAGACCAGATACATCGTGGACCAGGCACATGGAGGTGGAAGCAATAAAAACAGACCTAGGAAGCCTGAGTCTCCCGGAGCATGCCAGACTGGCTGAGCCAACCTACAGGGTGGGAAGAAGTAGGTACCTACACTCAAGGGCCATAGCCCTGTGGACAAGAAATGTGGGGCAAGAGGTATACAGAGAACCTCAGAAGTACATTTGTGCAGTCCTGTCATGATACACACATGGGCCCAGGGCCAGTCGTTCACCAAGTCACAAGGCCTTAGTGGCAGCCCACCCCCACAGCACTCATGGGGCAGCTGTCCTTCAGGATGTGAGGCTGAGGGAGGCCAGCCCAGGCAGGAGCTTTGTCCCCAGCAGCCCTGCCTACCTCCTCAGCAACCAGGAGCCCACACTGGATGAGACGGTCCAGCACCTCCTGACAGTAGCAGTAGGAAGACTGGCAAGGCTGGGGATGAAGAAGTAGTCCATGGGGCCTCAAGATAGCCAAGCGACAGGCAGGGCCCTGCCCAGGCATCAGAGGAGCAGGGCTCAGGGCACCGAGGGGACACCTAGGCCAAGCTGGCGGGTGGGAGGCCTGACCTGCAGTAGCAGCAGGTCTTGTGGCAGCAAGTGCAGTAGCAGCAGGACCTGGCGGTACAACTCATTCTGGCTCAGCAACTCGATACCCTGCAGCTCCCAGGGGCCCTCTGGTGGCACTCTGCCTGCCAGCAGCGCTCGCACTGCACAGGCTGGGAAGGGGACGGGGCATGAGGAAGGAATTCATCCCCTCGCCTGACCCCCGACTCCCCACCCCAATCCCTCAGGACTCACCACCCACGGCCTCGCTCAGGAAGGCGGGCAGCAGCTCAGCGCTCAGGCGAGCCAGGTGCGTAAGGCCTGGGCCGGGCCGCACCACCACCAGCAAGTCCCCTTGGTGGACACGCAGCAGAGCCACATGCGCCTGCAGCAGGCTCAGCGTGTGCCACACCAGGCCCCTCAGTTGCCCTGAGAAGCCCACGTCAAAGCCCCGCAGCAGCGTCTCCTCTGTCAGCCAAGAGAACTCCCCCAGGAGCTGCGAAAGGAACACGCCCTGGGCAGGCAGAACCAGGGCTCAGTAGCAGGGCCACGCCCTTCCCCAGCCCAGCCACACTGTGCCTACCTTCTGGTGCTTGAACAGCAGCAGCGTTGCTGTAATGGCCGTGCTCATCACCGCAGAGCTCGCCACACTGGCTGCGGGCAGGGTTAGGGGTGCTGGTCAGGGGCCTGGGCCCAGCAGCCAGTTCTCTATCACCCAGTAAGTGTGCAGGCCAAAACAGTCATCCCCTGCCTCCTTGGCAGCAGACACTGCCCCCACACAACTCCAGGGAAGAGGGGAGCAGGCATGACTGGTCCTGGGGGGTGGGTGGGGGCACCCTGCCAGTGGAGAACTGGCATTCATCAAATATACACTGAGACAGGCCAGGTGCTCGGAGACCTTCCCTGCTTCCCCTAGGCCTACCCACTAACCCAGCTTGTGCCACAGAGGGACACCTGAGAATACAGCAGTAACCATCATGCTGTGCCAAGTACTGTGTGAAGTCCCTCATGTGCATCATTCCATTAGTCATCATTTACAGCTCAGGAACCCAGGCTCAGAGAGGTGAAGGGCTGAGCCCAGGGCAGGGCCATGATGGGTGGCCTCCAGGCATCTGCCCTCTGCAGCTCAGGTGGCTGGCTGTGCACGTTCACTAGTGGCTCCCTTGTGTCCTCCCTGGCGGCCGCACTTCCTCACGTATCCCAAGCGAGCCTCATAGGAGGGAGACTCAGGTACAGAAAGCCACTTGGAATGGAGGGCCCTGATACCCTGCTGACCCAGAGAGAAGGGATGGCTTAGGAAGCCCCCCAGAGGCCCAGACCTTATTCCTCACCATTCAGGATGTGACGGCTCAGCCTCCTGACCAGGAGCTGGTCCTCTGCCTTGAGGGCCAGAAGGGGCCCAGTCACTGGGGTCCATCCCTGCTCCTTCTCGGTATCTGGAACAACAGTGCTGGGACAGAGACAGGCGCAGGATGAGGGAAGCCAACCCAAAACAATCATGGGACAGCCGAGAGCTTTCTCAAAAGTGAGGGTGTTGTCCCAGCACAGCCCCAGGGCCATGATGGCTCCTATAACCCCAGCCCCTTCCAGGTCTCTGCCATTTCCCACACTCAAACTAGAGGTGAGAAGGGGTGCCAGGCACTGTTCTAGGTGGCCCAGAGTATCTAGTGACAGGAGGCTGGAACTGAAGATATCTGTGGGTCTGAGCCAAAGGACCACCTGCCATGCCCAAGCCCCACACCCTCCCCTACCCCTACCTCTGGCCCAGCACGATGGGCTGCAGCAGCTGCTCCAGGGTCTGTCTGCTGCCCCAGCAGCTTCGGGCATTAACAGCATATTCCTGCCCAAGAGAAGGCTCTCAGGTGGCCGGCCCGGAAGCCTGCACACAGCCCATGGAGATAGGCAAGGCTCTCCCTGCAGCGGCTCTGACGGCCAGGCTGCCATAAGCTCCAGGACAGACCCCAGGTCCTCCCAACAGACTCCATACCCGCAGGGAGAAGGGCTGGGCCAGGTGCACACGAACGCAGACCCGGCGGCCACGGCACCAGCCTCGTAGGCTCCTCAGAACAGCCAGCATTCCTGTCCACAGCCCCAGTGGGGCTGTGGCCTGCAGGGAAGGAGAGGCTGAGGGAGCTGCCTACCTGGGGCTCCATTCTCTGCTCAGCTTCACCCCAAACTGGCACATGACCAGGACCTCTCCAAGCTCATTTTCTCATCCATGAAACAGGAGAAATCTCTCCCTAGCAGAGTCTTTTGAGGATGAAACAAGTGACTATAGCAGCCTGGGCAGCACCACGGGAAGATGACAGTAGAGGCAGAATTCCTTTGCACCCCCTGACCCTAGTTCTGAGGGTCACTTGGCCACAGGACACAATATTGTGCCCCCTTTCTGGAGACAGTGTCTGCATGGGATCCCAAGGGGCAGGAGGGTCTCACATGGTATGTGTCACATGGTGCATCTGGAACCAGGTCATAGGTGATGGCCACTGGCACCAGCATAGCATCTGGGACAACGCCCACTTGGACGGCCTGCACCACCAGTCCCAGCCAGGCCTGGCCCAGGGCTGACAGCCGAGGCCCCTGGGTCCCAGGGGGCTCCTCCAAGAAGATGAGCAGGGGCTGCCCGCTGACCAGCAGCTGCTCCACAGCCTGGAATAAGGTGGGGAGATAGTGGCAGAGGCAAGCATCAAGGCCAGAGCAGCAACAGGCCCCTATGCCCTGGCCTGGCCAAACACACAATCACTGGGGGCACTCACCGCATGGACCACGGCCCTTGCAAGGACTCCATCAGAGCTATCCAGGGACAGGGTGGCCTCTGGGGGCAGGAAAAGCCCCCCAAGCTTCCTCAGCAGAGCTCTGTGGGGCACAGGGCAAAGAGAACCTAATGAGGGAAGGGACTCAGGAGATGGGACCAAGAAGGAGGCCAATGAGCGCCTCAGCTCACCCAGGGCTGGCCTAGGTCCTGCCTGAACATTCTGAAGCCAGGCTGGGCCTAGAAACCAGAGCTGACCATCTGAGCCCATGTGCTGGACTGGCTGGCTGGACTGGTTGAGAGCAAAGAAGCCAGGAAGAGGGCCCATAAGGGCTGCTGCTGGCACCTCCCAGCTGCATCCCTACATGCAGTGCCCCAGCTGGGGACTTTACCCATGTGTGTCTAGAGGCACAAAGCTTTTTACCTGAGGACAGGGGAGCAGGTGCGGGGGTCCCAAGCCACGCGGAGCACACCCAGGCCCTGGGAGAGCAGCACGAAGGGCAGCAGGACCCCATCCAGGAGCGACTTATGGGTGGAAAGGAGCACGAGTGGTGAGCCCTGCTGGGGGACAGCCAGAGGGACATGCCAGCCTGCCCCACCCTGAGGGTGTAGGGGGCCGCAGAGGGACACAGGGCCCACCTGGGCAGTTCCTCCTCTAAGCACATTTCCCAAAAGGAGAGGAGCTGTCGACAACTTTTAAGGCAGTGCGCTGACGTAATGGTTATTAAGACCATGAAAGACGTTAGGGGAAGCCCCATGGGAGGAGGGCCATGAGACACGAAGAGGTCGGCAAGGCCTGGGGGTGTTTTCCCACCAGCAGATGGGGCTGGTCTCACCAAGGGCCTGACTGAGCTTTGCCCTGCCAACCGCCCCCCACACACCCGCACTGTAGGGTGGCTTACCGCCTGGGCTGCCTTACGGACCATCTTCATGTGGCCCTTGTGCAGCTGCACGTTCAGGAAGAGACAGTTCAGGACCTTCAGCACCACCCAGCTGAACAGCCTGGAGAGCGGCGGGGCCCAGTCTGAGGTGTGGTGGCACCACCCGCGAGGCAGGGCCCCCAGCATCTCAGAGAGCCACTGTTACTGTCCCTACTTTACAGAAGAGGAAAGCGAGGCTCAGAGGTTGCAGAAGCTGCTGATGGTAGAGAAAGCTAAGAAATGATGCCGGGACTGGCAGGCAAGCCTGACACCAGAGCCCACGCCTGCAAGGTGCTAACATGCCCCCAGGAAGAGCTTGTGGTGCAGCTGCCTCACATCAACTTCAGACACGCTCCCTGCCTCAGTTTACCCCAAAGGAGATTAGAGGAGCAAGACTCTCTCCAGGCCTAACCTGGCTTGTTCTTTGCAAACTGCTGAGAAAGGTGAAAGAAAAGGGAGGAGTTAGTGATACAAGAAGGAAAGGGTAACTGAAGGGGGTGGGCTTTAAATGAGGCCGGAAGCACAGATGTGGGCAGCATGGAGATGTGGTGAAGCAGCATGTCCTCATCTGAGGGCCTGAGATGGGGCATCCGCTGGCAGTGGGTAAGGCTGAGGAGCCAGTGCCCCTGGGAGGACTTCCATGTGCTGTGTTCTCCTCTAGAAACATCTGGCTGCTCAGTACAGAGAAAGCAGGCAGCTGGGGTGTGCCCACTGGCCCCTTTGCGGGGGCGTTATAATCATGATGAACCCTGGAATCAAAGCTACACCAGGAAGGGCTGATGGCCACTGTAAGGAGGTCAGGTCATGGGACTGGAAGTCTCAATGAAGTCAAACATTTTTCACATGGAGTGCTTGTCGAGGTCACAAACCCCCCCGCTACTTCCTATCCTTGCTCAGTTGACTTAGCACTGCCAGGACAGCTGAGTCTGACACGCACAGCCCTGTGCCCTTTCCCTCTGTGAATTGCTCATCTCCTGGCTTTAACCATCGTCCATGTGCTAAAGCTTCACGAATAGACATCCTTGTCCCCAGCCTCTCTGCTTAGCTAATATAAGACTCACATAAGCAACTGCCTCCTGGGTGTCTCTACCAGCACTAAAACACTATATCCAAAACATTCTTTGTGGGCCAGACTCACTCCTCCCAAACCTGCCCCTTCCATCCACACCACCAGGTTCTTAGCCAGAAACTGGCTCTCCTTTTCCCTCACTGCCCCACCCTCACCTCCAATCCATCAGTGAGTCCTGTTAATTTCACACTGGTCTCTCAATCCATTTTTTCCGACCTCTATTGTCACCTCACCTGGACCAACTTGTCCAAGCTGTCACCATGTCTCACATGGACTAACAAAACAGCCTCCCATACCATCTTCTGTTCTCTACTCTTGATCCCAATTAATCGTGTTATCATTCTCTGCTTAAAACCTTTTCACTAGTTGTCACTGCACTCAGAAATCAAATCCAAGCTTCCTGTGTGTCCCTGTGTATCCGGTCCCTTCTACTTCTCATTTCATCTCCAACAGCTCTCTCCCTGACTGGCCAGCTTCCAGGCACATCAGCTTCATGAGCACACCTGGCCCTCTCCGGTGGCCATTACTCAGGCTATTCCTGCTAGTAGGACTGTTCTCTCTCTCCAACCCCTGACCCCACCCCAAGGCTGGTTCCTTAACCCCTTTCATTCCTCGCTTACAAGTCACCTCCTCTCCTTCAGGTACCCTCAACCCCAGCCTTCACTGTCCTACAGCCATGTGCATCTCTGTCCACTCTGACCTGTGCACTCTCATTCCCACTGGAACAGCACCTGCATCTAAGAGGGGCTCAGACTGTGCAGATGAATGTGGGAGGGGCAGGTGGGGACAGCAGGATAAATGCAAGAGGAGTTATGGGGACCCTTAAGATCAGGGAACCAGCCACCTCTGCCTCTCTCCATAGGAACCTGATCCAGGGAAAGGTAGAAGGTTGAAGGTGGTACTAGAGTCTGGATCACAACCAGGTGTTTTAGGAGTAAGCCCCAAATTCCCAGCCCCAGGACACAAGGACAACACTTAGGCCAGCTGTAGTGAGAAACTGAGTGGAACCTGGGGGCTAGCTCAGATCAAAGCCCCATCCCATACCCAACTGGTCCCACCTGGGAGCCAGCTGTCCTCAAAAGGTCGGTCCCTCTGGTAAACACACTATCTGGCTCCCTGTGGGAAGAATCTAGTCTTTCCCCAAGCCCAATCAACACTCACTCTCCAGAAGGGCAGAGGCCCCAACCTAAGGATGAGTGTCCCTCAGCACAGAGTTACCTGAGCAGGAAGGGGCGGGGTGGGGTCTGGAAGTGGCCCAGGATGCGCTGTACCTCTTTCTTCACAAGATCGGGTACCTGGCCTTCCCCAGCCCCTGCTGGAGCCCTCCCTGAGATGACGTTCTGTACCCTACGATGTGGGAGAAGTGCTGTCAGGCTGTGACATGCCTAAGGTCCCCCAAGCCACTTCCCTCAGCCCCATACAGCCTCCCCCGGGCATACCTTCCAGTCTTCATTCTCAATCTTTAAGGTAGGGCCCCAGACAAAACTAACACTCTAGAAGACAGCCTTGTCAACCCCCCTGCCTAGAGCCTCTGTCATCCTTTCAAGGGTCCCAGAGTGCCAGCCCAACCCCATTCCCTGCATCCTCACCCAGTGCTTTCCATGACCTTCTGTGGGGCATCCCAGCAGGGGGGTATGTGCTGCTCCAGGGACCACAAGAAATAGCAGAGCCTCCGAACCAGCCAACCCCGAAACCTGAGCACAGCCCCCAGAGCAGGGGGAAGATCTTTCAGATGGCCCACCCCGACTAGGGCCCACTGAGGGTATGCCATGAAGGGCTGACACCCCAGTACCATGACCCAGAAATGCCTGGGTTTGGTTTATCACAGTGCAGGATGAGGAAGCACCTGCCCATCTGAGCCCCATTCCAGACCCTCCCCGCCCAGTGGGGTATAAGCTCAGGGCCTGACACACTGTGGACAGCCCATAAACCCTCACAGGAGGCGCTGCAGGAGCTCCAAGCCTGCCTCTCCATGCCTATGTGTACGGAGCAGAGGGCAGGAGGAGTCCTTCTTTCCCATGAGAGGAAGAAAGTGACACCACAAAGCAGGGCCCACCCACTCGCCTTTGGCTCTGACTACCTGGTGTTCTCCTCCTTCACTAGGATCACATCGCAGAAGCCCAGATCCATTATACTTCTGTGGAAGAGGGACTCCTGCCCAAGAGGGGACAGAGACAGCATGTCTTTGGGTAGCCTTCGCACACCAGCAAAGGAAAGCCCCTGCTCTGTCTTCTGAGGGCGCTGACTGATGGCTTATTGTGTCCACCAGGAGACAGGACTGTAGCACAGTATTTCCCAAAAGACTCTGATGCCCACTCAGGAAAAAGGGCTCTGTGGTTAAAAGAGAAGTGCTGCACTCTCTGCAGCACCACCCTCTCCGAGAGCAGCGTGTTAAAGCCTCAAGTAGGTCTCTCATCCACAGCAGAGGACATGTAGCGGGTCTCCACAAGAACCCGGGTCCCATCAGCACCAGCACACGGCGTGGCCACACAGGAGGTCTTTGAGCCTGTGCTCAGTGACTGAGTGAATGGGTCCCCCAAACTGAACAGGACTGTGCAGGCCTGGTCAGACCCCAGCCCTCTGGCCATGCCCCACCTCCTTGCAGGCCCCTTTGCACTTCCCCACCCAGCTCCCCCAGGGCTGTGACCCAGCCCCAGGCCAACAGCACAACGGGGACCAGTGCCTCCATTCTCAAGAGGTAAAAGCAGAAGCATGGGAAGGGAAGGCTGAGCATAGGACATAAGGGAAGCTGCTTCCCGGAGCCATAGCTCCCACAACCAAGCTACTCCCAAGCTCCCCAGGGTGGGGCCCAGCCTGTATCACTAACCCAGCTCTTGGGGGTACAGGTCTGGCAGCAGCGACCCACAAAGGGGCGATATTTCCCCAGGAAAGGGGTGACAGCCTCCAGCTTCATCCCCAAGCCTGAGGACCACAGACTGGTCTGTAAAAGGCCACATGGAGAAATGAGAAGATTCAAAGTCTTTGGCAGGGGAAGGGAGGTTCCAGGAGTTAGGGGCACAGGATGGAAGGTGGGAGGGCAGAGGGTGTTTTGGGAATGGGAGGGGCCGCACTACCTCCCGGCCACTCTGGCGGCTCCTCTGCTGAGTCCGGAGTCTGGCTCCAGACATGTTGTCCATGGGGGCCTATAAGGTCTGAGAACCGGCCACTTCTACCTCTCTCTCTCTCTCACCACAGGAACCTGACCTGGGGAAAGATGGAAGGATGGAGCGGGTACTGGAGTCTGGGCCACAAGCAGGGGTTCCTGAGGTGACCCCCAAATTCACATCCCAAGGACAGACAGCCAACACCCAGGCCAGCAGTGATGAGAAACTGAGCTGGAACGTGGCTCGGACTAAAGCTATGCCCCATACCTAATGAGTCCCTCCAAGGAGCAGCTGTCCTCAAAAGATCACAGTGTCCAAATCAGGGGCAAGCAGAAGCTAACATGGAGGAGATGGGTTGTCTTACCAACACACACCCTGCCATCTCCCAGCACACATGGGGGCTATACTAGAGGCTGAGAGCCTTCTGTGCAGAGGGAAAGAACAAGGCTGGGTAGCAGGACGGAGTCATGAAACTATCAAAGAGGA